GTGGATAGCCCTTACTCGGGCTTACATCCCTGTGTGGCTTCTTAGGCTGAAGTGGGAAATGTATTGTTATTAGGGTGGGAAGCCAGACTAAACTAGGGTACTTGCCTGAAGCGGGAAATGAGAAGAAGGTTACTTCTTCGGTCCTGCTTCAGCTTAGTTTATATACATGTGTGAATGGGTCACGTGGGGTTGCCACGTCACCCTTGGATGAAGCCGGGTTACCACGGGTGGTTCCGCGGTCGATCCCGAGTGTTGGAGGGGAAGTACAAGTAGAAGTGCGTGGCGCATCCGGCATTGCGGTGCCCCTACGGGGTGCTCAGCGTCGGACACATCCGTGCTACAAGGGTAGGAAAGAAAGAGAGGTCGTCTGTATAAAGATAGAAAAAGAGAAGAAGGAAAGAAGAGAGAATGAGGGGATGAGACAAAAGGAAAAGGAGGTGGCAGCAGCGGCGGCGGCGGCAGCGTGCCCTGACACTCGCTCGCTTGGGACGGGATGCTCAGGCTGAAGGTAACAGAACCTTCAAGTTGGGCAGCGTGGACAAATGCCGCAGGGCTGACTAACTCGATCAGGGGGGCCTGGCAGATGGGATTACTCGGTGTGTCTTTGGATACGGGAACCGATGTGTCCGCTGGAGGAACAGCATTCGGCAATGGTTCAGGAGAGCTCTGGGGGATTGGACTGGATTGTTCAGATGTCTGGAAAGTTAAACTGCTCTTTACCCAGTCAATCAACGGATTGTATCGGGCGAGCCAGTTATGTCCAAGGACAATAGCACAAGAGCCATCCAATGGGGTGACAAAGAATGTCATCGGGGTAACATCACCGGTAATAAAACGGACGGGGAGATCGACGGCGCGGGTTATCACATTGTTTGTGGTGCCATCGAATAAGCGGAGCTGCATAGGGGTTACAGTATAGGTCGGGATCTTTATTTTATTAATCAATTCTGTATCAATAAAACAGTCAGAGGAACCAGAATCTATGAGGGCAGAGAAAACAATGGAGGGATCACATTTGTCTTGAGAAAGTAGACCATCAGGAGAGAACATATCCGAATGGGAGACAGAAGTCCTGGAAGTGGAAAACAAAGGAAAGCCGGGGGCATTCCCCCTTGAACTAGGAAATCGACCGTCAATGGAACAAAAAGAAACCGGGACAGAGAAAGAATTGGGGCTGGAGAGGGCAGACACGTTTAAGTGCACCTCCCTCTGTGCACAAACCGGTTGACCACAACCATCCGATCGTGCGTGGTCCGGATGGTTGCCGGCTAATTTTTTGGGTCAGACGACGAGTCTGACTCCGGTTCAGGCGTTGCCACCTTGGCTGCCCTAGCTTTGGAAGTGCTAGAGCCAGCCTTGTAGCAATCCTTAGCTACATGACTGTCAGGGGACGGACCCCGGGTCCCCATGACCCCTCTCTCTATAGCCCACAGCCCTGTGTGTGAACAGCCTATCCTAAGGCACAACCTACTGTGGGTAAGAAAGTGAGAAGAAGGTTAACTTCTCACTTTCCCACAGTGGCCCAATATGGCGAAAACTTCCGGGGATACCCGGAAGTCACATGAAGAGTGGGAGCTGGGCCCGGAGCATGCGGTGTGCGGAGCATGCGGGGCAGGGCACACATGCGGGTCCAGGTCTGGGGCTAGTCAGGGTGTGTGCCCTGACAATGACCGGCCTTTCTGCAGAACATACAAAGCTTATTATCGAAGCGGCGTTGGTGTTCTTCCTTCGTGAGCCTGCCATTTTTGTCGAGTTTTGCGGCGAGGTCGGGTTTTGGTTTGCCGTTGGACTCCTTGTCCTTCGGCGTTTTGTTACTAGGGTTAGGTGGGGGGTCGGAAGGGCGTTGGTGTTTTGCGGGAGAGGATTTATGCGGCGATTTGTCGTTAGCGTCGTGAACGGGCTTGTTGCACCGCTTGGTCTGAACCTTACGATCCCAGTAGCGGCCGTCGATATCTTCGGCTAGGTCTTGTAAGTCATATAATGATGTGGGCTTACCGAAACGAGTGATCTCATCCTTAATTTGATTGGGTAATCCGCGATAGAACATGGCGCGGAGTGCCCCTTTGCCGAAATTATCCAATTTACCTGCATAGCGGTTGAATTCGATCACGTATTTACCAACTCACTGCCCATCCTTCATCATGAGGTTGAATAACAACTCTTCGGCCTCGCCGATAGGGTCGTGCGGGCTGAAGTTGCGCTCCAACTCGTGCACAAACCTTTCCCAGTCGTTCATCCAACGTGGTTCTCGACCTAGGAGATGACTGCAGAGGAGGTCGGGCTCGAATAAGTCGAGGGCCGGCCCTTTTAGGTATGACACTGCATACAACACCTTGTCGGATTCGTCGGGGAAGGTGTAGGCTCGAGTTTTGAAATTTACTTCGCATTGAACGAAGAATGTGCAGAGTTTTTTAGGGTCTGATCCATCGAACTGGTCGGGTTCGCAGACTTTTTTACGGGGCTCAAATTGTCTCTCCTCTGTCCTACCTCTTTCAAATGGCGTACTAGAGCTGTAGTCTCTATAAGGCATCGTAGAAGGTCCTGCTGCAGCGTTCCTGACCTGCGAGCGAGTCGTACGTCGTGACATTGTAAGGGCATCAAGAGTGATAGGTAGTTCAAAATACTGTCAGAACCGTGCAAATCTTCGCCGATGGTAGCCGTAGGCGACCGAACGCTGCCCGCTAGTGGTACAGGCGTCCTACACACGACCGAGCTTTAGCGAGGGATAAACCCCACCAATCTTGAGGCCGAGGCTACTTAGGCGAGTGAGCCGGGACTTTGGCTTCAACGACTCGAGGAAGAGCGTTGCGCCTCGTTCTCGACGCGGTCCCGATACTTCAGAAGGTCGGAGATCTTACGGGGAACAGAGGTAAGCTTAGGGGTGAATTTCTAGTTGATTTCAAACTACAGTACAAGCATTAGTTACAAGCTGTATATAAGCGCTAGGGAACTGAATAGGGAATAAGTCGCCAGATCTCGTGGAGATTGTGGGCAGAGAAAAGAAGGAGCAAAACAAACAAGAAGCATGTGTTCAAGACAGCGAAGGTCAAACGTGACCTTCACCACGAGATAACAAGGTGTGGTGAAACATGGGACAACAGGCCGCGGTGCTCTGCACTGCTAGGTCATTCAACGACAATTAGGAGAGGGGTTGTGGAGAGGTGGCAGGAAGGGGTTAGATGGTGACGGGTGGCGAGCAGAGTGTGTGGGGAGTGTTCGGGCGTGGGAGAAGGTCTGGGAGGAGGTTGTCTGACCCCGGGGAACGCCGGGTCGTGACAGGAAGTAGGGTCCAATGAGAAAGGCAGGAAGATTCTTGTATGTGATAGCTTCATCAGCACAAGAATCAATGCAGCGAACAAGAGAAAATCCATCCATAATGCCACCCAGAAAAGAAAACACATAAATTTTGAGAATGGTGTAATGGAACACAAGATTTTCAGTTCAATTATTATTTTCAAATTCTCTGGCCAGGCACTTCTGTTGTCATGCTGTTCCTGGCTCCTGGTTGGCTGTCATGCTAAATTCAGGCCTGCCAGTTGAATGTCCAACATAAAATTTTGTCACAGTCCAAAACCATCCAGTTGTTGGTCATGTGCATACAGTACTTGTGTGCAATGGGCAACTTGGAACGATAGAATAGCATGGCGATGACCCCAACAAACATTGAAGCCTCTTGAATTGTTGAGCGACCCGGTATTTAAGTACAACCAACAATACACACTGGTGGAGAAGGGGGATGGTGGTGGGTAATGCAGAAATATGGATGCAAGCAAGGGTCAAGCAAGAACAAAGAGAAGTTCCAAACAGATAGGAAAAAACCAAAATGTGAAAAAGACAGGCTAGTACCGAAGTCATAAATATATGGGATCCTGTTGGAGGAACCATGTGCTATGGGAGGCCGGACGAGTTTTCGTACAGCCACATTCCCACATCCGGGTGAGGAACTCGCCCGGACAGCCACATTCCCGCAGTAGCGTGACTACTTAGTCACAACACCTTTTCTCTTTTATATTATTTCGGACTAATCCGTGCCAGGCCACGGACATATTCATTCATTTGAATTCATTTCCTTTTCCCTCAGTTCTTCACACATATTGGCTGAGACTGAGGTTAGTTAGTTACATTCCCTCATTGCTTTATCATTGTAACTTATATTATGTATATTACCTCTAGTCATTACTCATAGGTAATATATCTAGTTCTTCACGCATATTGGCTGAGACTGAGTCATTACTCATAGTCCAGCTCCGGGATCACAAGTGTCGCTCATCAACAGATCCTACCCACCAAAGGTAACTGAAGGTCACAACACCTTCACCCTTAGTAAGACCGAATACTTACATTCAGAAATTGAGTAATCAAACTATTGATGAAGAATAAGAGTCAGAAAAAATGAAGTAAGAAAGAGATAAAAAGAAGGTGGATGCCAAAGGATGGCCCAATGTGTTCACCCGGTGCAAAGGCTAAAAGGAATGCATGTTGGTAGGTGTGAGAATGGCAGAGATGCTGAGGCACAATGGTAGGTGTGAAGGCACAAGGGCCGATGGCATTAAAGCCAAAGGCATAGAGGCTGTCAGGGCAATAGCCCCGAACCCCGAGTCTGATGTAACAACAGTGTACATAGAGTCATGTGGCTAAGCGGCAACTTCCGGTTACCACTTAACATCATTGTATCACTTACGGTCTGGTGACCCCCTGAGACCTCACAGATGCCAAAGGCATGGAGGCCAAAGCATCCAAAGGATGCAAAAAAAAACACATACAGTCATTCATGTGCCAATGGCACACCTTTTGTAATTTCGACACTATAATTTGAGATCTGCCCTCCAAAAAAAAAAATCCCAATAGTAGCCAGACTTATAATGTACCTACTGTCCAAAATTGGATGAAAAAGAATGAGAAATGAAGGAGAATAAATGCAGGTGAGCAAATGGGCCTTTCATGGCTTAATGGTTCAGTGTGACATAGTGTGACCTTGAATTTCCCACACCAGATCGATCCCCGTTCACTGCTCATCGGCGTCGCAGATGGGTTCCTCCACTCCTTTTCCACACTCTTTCACTGTATCCGATGGCGAAATTACCAACTGAGGATAATTTTCTGCCATCCAGTCTTTTTTTGTGACCGCTTTTGGCTTTTTTGGCACCTTCTGTTTCAGCGCTTGCAGCTGTTCCTTCTGCACTTTCCATGCTGCCTCACCGGCTTTCTGGTGTCTCTGAAATTCCTCCCAGCCCTTCTGCACCTCCTTCTTTGCCTTCTCCACCGCATCCTCCATTTCCCTCTTCTTGGCTCGATCACTCTGCTGCTGAATAAATCCCTCATGTGTCACCACATGCCCAAACACACCTTTGATCCGACCACCTTCCTCCTTGTTTTTCTCTCCCTCCTCACGGGAAAGAAGCTGAGTCCGAGCCTTTGATATGTACATCCCAGAAAGTGCTAACTGTGCATTTGTTGCATCTATGGCATCAACAGCGCTTGTCACATAATCCCTTGCATTTCGAAATGCAGCTCATGTCTTGCACAATTCAGCAATCAGCTCTTCACGAGTTTTCTTCTCATATTCCGTGTCTGTCAGGGCCCGGCCCTCGTTCTGTGACGGGCCTAAGGGGATCCTCTGAGTCGCTGGGGTATCTAGTCCCAGTCCGAGATCTTCAAACTCACTGAGGGGGCTAGCCCCAGCCTTCACAGGAAATGAGTTGCTGCGCATTTAGGGAGAAGGTAGTTACACTTGCCTTCACAGGAAATGAGTTGAGAAGAAGGGTAACCTTCTCAACCTCCTGTGAAGCCGCTACAAATGGGAGTTGGGAACTATACAGTTTTCGGCTCTTTGCCGACTTTCCATAATTGGCACCCCCCCGTGGGAAGATTCTGGGCGAGCTGCTCGCCCAGAAAGTTCCCACGGTCATGGCTGTGATGGTTTCTGGGTGAGTAGCTCGCCCAGAACGTTCCCACGGGTCTGCATGCATGCGGGATTGTGGAACAGTGAAGGGAAAAATAGGAGAAAATGGGGGAAGGGTACCTGAGGGTGTGTGGGGTCAGGGGCTGTGCCCTGACAGTGTCCTCAGCAAGGCCCCATTGGATGTTTCGGAGGCTTCTGCCATCACCATATACCCGCTCTGGGAGTTTAAATGTCGAAGAAAGTGGTTCAGTTGAGACGATGAAATTAGACGATGATGACAATGACATGATGCATTCTAGATCATCCAGCACGCGCTTCTTTGCTTGAGAATGTGCCATTGGTGACCCCAGGCAGCACGATGATTGGAGATCTGATTGCTGCCGATGTGTCACACACATCAATGGGTTGATTATTGGCTGATCGTCCCCATCATCATTGTCATTCTCATCACTTCCACCGTTCTGACCATCAAGGTACATCCGAGGGTTCTGGGAGTCATCAAGTGGGGAAGGTGTGTTGTCTCTATGATACTTTTGAGCCATAAGTTGACCGTGGAAATACATCATCCGTTTAACAGGGGATGTAACAGGTAAGGGGAGATCAGCATGAGTGGAATGTTCAATACTTGGGGCAAGCTGACATGGATGGATTACTGTGGGATCAAATGGGTAGACCCCAGTTACATGGAAACTGGTCATAATGTGTGCTTCAGTGATTGAGTCCAACCAGGCAGAGCCGAAGACAGACAAGAAGGATGTCTTATTTAGCTTCCTCAGTGTGTTCTCCCGATTATACTTATCGCAATAATTTGTAAAGCTTCTCTTGAAGAGAGAAAAAATCACGACATCAAGCCCTTGAAGCACATGAGTTGTATGAGAAGGGTAACAAAGTACGACGATCTTGTGGTCATGCGCGTAAGAGATGAAGTCAAGACTGTAATGAGAATTGTGTCCATCAACAACCAGAAGGCGATGGTGGCCCCCTGCCTTCTCCTTGGTACATTCATTGAATGTTTGAAGCCAATCAAATCCAATCTCATGGTCTGTCCAGCCTTTGTCTGAGACTGTGACCCTGCCCAAGAGTGAGTGTAGGCTGGGGTATAAGCATGAAGACTCATGTGCATTTTATTGGGTTGTTCCTTAACCATTTTGAGTTAATATTTTGTCCTTTGAAAATTACGACACATCAGCAAAAGTCCGTTATGCTCCGGAGCATCAAGAGTGGCTGGAGCATGTGGGAGACAAAACAGCAGATTGGGCACTCCTGGAGCCAATAGTGTTCTCCTGGGAGGGGGTTCAGGAGCAGCTGGGAGTGGTGAGGAGTATGTAATGTGCCAGGAGCAGTGGGAGGAAAATTTTGGTCTCTAAAAAGTTGAAAAAAAAAATTTAGGGAAAAATCAAAAAAAATTCAGGAACTATATGCCTTTAAAGTGCTTTCAGGACATATAATTATTTGCAAAATTGAGGAAGAAATGATGGAGAAAAATGGAAAATACTTTCGGAGACCCGAGAAATAATGAGAACTGAATTGATGGGAAAGTCTGAAAATTGAATAGGAAAGTGAGGGGAAGCCTTGTAAGCATTGTTATTTTCTGCTGTTCTGATTTTTCCTGATTGTTCTTGGTCTCACTCCCAGCTGCTCCTGGACCCTCCCAGGAGCTTTCAGGAGCTTCCTGGAGTATTGAGGAGCAGCTGGGAATGAGACCAAGAAGAATTGGGAAAAATCAGAACAGCAGAAAATAACAATGCTACAAGGCTTCCCCTCACTTTCCTATTCAATTTTCAGACTTTCCCATCAATTCAGTTCTTGGGTCTCCAAAAGTATTTTCCATTAGCTGCTCCTGGACCCTCCCAGGAGCTTCCAGGAGTATCCAGGAGTATCCAGTAGCAGCTGGGAGTGAGACCAAGAACAATCAGGAAAAATTAGAACAGCAGAAAATAACAATGCTACAAGGCTTCCCCTCACTTCCCTATTCAATTTTCAGACTTTCCCATCAATTCAGTTCTCATTATTTCTCGGGTCTCCGAAAGTATTTTCCATTTTTCTCCATCATTTCTTCCTTGATTTTGCAAATAATTATATATCCTGAAAGCACTTCAAAGGCACTACAGTTCCTGATTTTTTTTTTTGATTTTTTCCCTAATTATTTTTTTCAACTTTTTAGAAGTCCCTATTTTTCAAAATTTCCTCATTTCCCTCTATATCCCCCCCTCATTCCCCCCTCATTCCCCCCCTCATTCTCCCCTCATTCTCCCCCTCATTTCCCCCTCATTTCCCCCCCTCATTCTCCCCCATTTCCCCCTCCCCCATATTCTGCCAGCCCGAAAGTGATTAAGTTGCCAGATTAATCATATATCAGGCCATAAATTTTGATTGTGTATTGGTGAGTTTCAGTGTCCTTGATATATAGTATAGTGTTTGATCTAAATGTTAAGCAGTGTCTTGTTGTGTTAGTCTTGTGGTAGGAGGTATTCATGTGGGATCTTCCCTCTTTTTTTTTTTCCTTTTCATTTTCAAATGCTCCAGGAGCTCCCAGAAGCTTCTCACCCCTATACACTTTGAAGCATTTAAATTGTATTTACTGGACATGTTTGTGCACAAAGCAATGCTCCAGGCCCTCCTGGGAGTGCCCTGGAGTACCTAGCCAACTCCGGAGGAAATGGGCTGTTCCTGGACCGGCCAATCTCCTCCTGATTCTCCCAGTGCTCTTGATACTCCGGAGCACTCAGGAGCATAACAATTTTTTGCTGATGCCCCAGGGGGTACATAGGAACCATCAGCACAAACAGTCACAATGACACTGACATTCTCCCGGTTTCCATCACGTTGGATGTGTGCTTGTTTAGTCATTTTGTGAGCAATCACTTTGACCTTTTCTCCTGTGCTGAAAGGAAAGCCACTTTCGTCCATTGCACATATATTCTCAGGGAGAAAGTTAAACTCCTTGTATTGAGCCTGCAGTAGCTGAAACCAGTGTTCTACTGTAGCAGGATTAACAGCACCTCTGCGTATATTCTCAAGATTTGTGCTCCACTTCAAATTAAGTTGGTCCTTATTACGGGTCAAAAAACCATCAACCCAATTTACACCCAGTGATTGGAGGTTGGGATGTCGTATTTTTGCAATTTCTAGTGCATACTCAGCAACACCATCACAAGTTAAGGGGAAGCCACGGTCCGACATGAGAAGCAAAAATTCCACAAGAGTATCGGTTTCTGCCTGATTTAGCCATGATCGGGCCATAGCAGCTGCATTGCGACCCTGCCCTCCCTTGAGTCTCCGTAGAAATGTAGTATATGGGACCCTGCATTCCAATGCATATTCTCGTGCACTAACAGCCTGCCGGCCTTCCTGCTGAGCGCGCGCTAATTCAGCACGATATGAAGCAAGAGTTTGCAGCATGTGCTCCTCTACTGCTTGAGATGCCTTTTGCTTTCTCATTCTCAGGGAGTCTGCATGTCGAGCCATTAAGGAAATCGCAAATGCAGAACAGGAAATGGATGTGTGAATAAGGGAAGCACGGATGTAAACCCAGGTCCGGCAACTGCTTGTTCACCAAAACAAACAAACATTGGCACGTGTGCCGATGGCCTTCTGCTCCTGAGTAACACCCCAACCCCCAGGTCATACTTTATTGTCATTTCCCTACTTCTGGAATGTACAGGATGCGCAACCCTCATATTTACCATTTTCCACGCTAATAACTACTATAACTCCTTCATTACATGTCCGATCAGCTCAAATTTTTGCGTAATTGTAGCTGTAGTCATTGCATACAAGCTTGAAAAAAATGAAGAAATATAACTATGAAATAAGGATGCTACGGGCATATTAACCATTGAGGGGTGAAAACCATTGGCACGTGAATGACTGTACCAATACCAAAGACAGCTAAAAAACAAGACTGGGAAATGCCGAGAAAATCAGAGAAAAAAAAAACAAACTAAAGACATACGAAAAACATCAGCATTAGAAAGACCATAACTGGGTATACCGTACGTGAGGTCAAAGAAAGTTTCCTGTGTGCAGCGGACACGAAGGAAACCTGGTGCTGGAACCCGAGGCACACAAGTCTTATTTAATCTCGTACCTCCATCAAATCCCAATGTGTCCACTTAAACTTGTATCTCTTGTTACTTGGAAAATTTCGGAAGTCGTGCTCTGGATATACCTCCAGCTTGAACTGAAATGAATATTTTTTTCCAGATGTTTTTTCTTTGGCACATGACCTCCAGCGAACTCCTTGCATCACTTCCCATGGGTGGATTTAGGTTTAGTGTTATGCCAGTTGTCTGGTAAAACCGAAGAGCAACGAAGTTACCAGATGACGCTTTCAGCTTGATCAAGTTCTGCCGAAGAAGAACGCGCGCGGTATGCACGTCAGAATGGAAGAAATTTGTCCCTGCAAATTGGACCGCATGAAACTTCTGCTTATTATATATTGATTGACCACGGCGCTCATGTCTGAGCGTCGCGGGCTTCCTACGGGACATATCAGGCCGCTTCGAGAACCCATTAGTAAAGATAGGGCAGCTAGGGAAATGGGATCCTAACAGGGGCTAGGGTGGACTCCTTTATAAATAGTCCTGGGTTCTGTCCTCCCATGAGCCCTCTCTTCGCTCGGTATTGCTTCTCGCACTATTGTACAACGGTTACCATGGTGCCCTCAAGCTCTTACGCGTCTGCGGTGCGCTTTGTGCTTGTGGTGTTGTTGTCTCGTGCTTTCCTAGCCCTTGCTTCACCCACTCCAGTTGCTGCCAGTGGGTCGGGAACGATCGGCGCTGTTGATGCCGAGCGTGACGAGACGGCTGTTGACCGAGTCAAGCGTGAACTTGACGCTCGTGCACCCTTGGCGCAATTGTTCTCTTCATGCGAAAACTCAAAGCAAGTTGCGCTGACTTTTGACGATGGGCCATATGCCTGGTCGTAAGTCCGAGCACCTTATGCCCTTCTCTTGTATCGAGGCTAAGGAGCTTTTGATGGGGACATGGTGTCGTGGTAGGACTGAGGTTTCAGATTTCTTGACTGAAGTAGGTGGGAGAGGGACCTTTTGCTACAATGGTAACAATTGTGAGTGAGCCGTTCAGTCACCGGTGTGTTCTGCTAAATTCAATCGTGGGTGGTGAAGGGGCGTGTATTTACGATGCTGAGAGCCAAGCGTGAGTTCAGCTCATCGGCATTGTGAATTTGTGCTGAATCGATGTTGCGCTACATTCTACCTTTCTTTCTCCCCACTGGCAGACGCGTCAAGTATGCCGTCGCTCGTGGCCATCAAGTCGTATCGCATACTTGGCGGCATTTGGTATGTTCAGCTTCTGTTCGACTAGCCTATATTTAATTTTAATTACTATTTTCTCATCTAGGATCTTACCCAGGTAAGCATCGAGATCTTGCGCAGTTTTTTTGTATTGAAATGAAGGTGCCGCATAACGAATAACTTCCCAGCTATCCTTTGATCGAAGTGAGAATGGAGGAATCCCGTTTGAACTCACCAAGTTGTTGATGATATTATTCCTTATTAGTCCACGATGAGATGTGGAGGGTGGAGCAAGCTCTAGAGCGAATTGTTGGCCTTGCACCAGCATTCATGAGGCCACCTTATGGTAGTTACAACAACTTGGTACGTGTGCCGATTACCTCTAGGGAACGAAGTGATAGAGTTTCTCGGACAGGTCCGCCAGGTGTCATACCAAAGAAATCAAAGCAGTGCGTAGTCAAATAGTCACGTCCTCTCTTACACTCCTATTCCCGTCTATATCTTGATCACCGTTCTCGTGCGGGGCTCCTTTCATAGTGATTTTATGGGACCTCGACACCGGCGATTCGCTGGGAAAATCCGTCTCTTATTCGGAACAACAGTACTACGACGCAATCAATCAGAACCGGGAGAACATCCTTGCGCTGAACCATGAGACTTATCAGAGTACAGTGTAGGTCATTGAACGCACTCATGTCTTCCGTGTTACGCATTGGAACCTCTAGGGAACAAGTCCTCCCATATGCTATCAAGCTTCTGCAATCGAAAAACTACCAGCTTGTCACAGTTGCGGAATGTCTTAACATGGCACCTTATCAGTGGACAACAACGCCGCAGATGCCGTCTGTAAGTTCGATCATCGCACGCAGCCGGGGTTGGAAGGTCGCTGAATATCATTCTACCGCGCTTTAACGATACACAGAGTTCATGGACATGCTGAATTGAGGCCGCTGTCAAAGTGGTTCTGTAATTGATTTGATTCTGAATCCCCTAATCGGCCACCCCCGACGCGCCTGAAGTTGAATAAGCATGAGATGTCCCTCAATCGTAAGGATAGCATCTTGATAACACAACGTGGAAATTTAGATCGCCGACATGGAGTCTCTTCACTGGCAGCTGCCCGTACATGACCAGCATGCGAAACCATGTCGACGTGATTTTTCTACATGTCCCTGGTGGGAGAATTGAAGCCTGAATCGGGTGATGTCCATGTGCGCAAATACAGTGTCGTCTCCGATACCTACGAGCTCGTATTGATACCGCGGGCTTTGCCCAGAGGCCAGCTTACCTGACCGAATTCCACAGCCCGACGATAGTTAAATGACAAAACACGATGTGTCTGTGATTTGTGTTTAACCCATCAGTATTGCATCAGTATGGAATTCGTGGAGGACGATGGTGTCTGGCATGGATCCGGAGCAGTGAACACAGTGACGTGAATGTGAGGTTAACTGGGCAGTACATAACTACATATGTATGTATATGCATCCGTTGTGCGTCATGACGTAAGTTATTATGCCCCGGTGATTGCTTGCTGATGGAGACCGATGAACAATGCACGCACTTGATGGAAGCTGTCGTCACAATGTTTAGAGGGTACCAAGGGGCAACCAAGGAGCTTGTTCCACAGGCAGCTGTATCGTTCACTCTTGATGTGAGAGAACTAGCGTAGGATTAGCGCTCAGTTCACGAGAGTGGAACTAAGATGATATTGGTGTACCTAGCGTAGGATTAGCGCTAAGTAGAATATACACGAGTCCTTAGGAAAGAAGTAGTCTCGCAGTGAAAGTGGGTCTCACCTCAGTTCACCAGAGTGGAACTGAGGAGAGCAAGAAAAAGTTGCGTCCAGTGGCTTTTAAGCCTACAACGACGTCGATCAAGAAAGGAATAATGGAAAATCTCTGGCGGCTGTAGGTCCGTGCGCCCAAAATATGGGACGTCAACATTCCTAATTTCTAACACTTCATGCGTACTTCCGGCTTCCCTTCCCGTGCTAGCCTTCACGCGGTCTCAGGAGCCATCAAAGAAAACTTGCCGATTGGCCCGGCACTTCACAGCAACATATAGACCTACTCACTTGATTCTATGGGAAAAATTGGCAACACTACAGAAAAAAAAATTCTTCTGGCTCCGCCGCCGCCGCCACTATCACCAGCAATTCGTTATAGTTACTCCTCCCACATCAGTAAATTAATCATATCAATGCTCTACCCGTCACCGTCCTCGACCACCCCTCGCCTGTTCTCTTCGACTCCAGCCTTTCTCGCCCCTTCACTTCCACCAATCCCTCCCTTCACCTCCCCTTCCACCCAGGCCCCCTTGGAGGGACGACGGTTAGAGTACATAACCCATCGCCCAAACAGTCCCCAGAAGTCCGATCGGAAACTCTATTCCACGAATCGCAGAACCCAGCCATGTGAAACACGCAGTTATTAGTTTGCATCACCCGCAATTAAGTGGAAAGGATCAAAATGCTCGTATTTGGCAAAGAACGGAAGCTGACATGACAAGCATCCAAGGGACAACATGTGAGAGAGGAATGGGATAGCAAGGGCGAAACGGGACCCACTTCGTATTTGTCCCCCTTCGAACCCTTCAAACCCAGCAATCCTCAATTATGTAAAGGATTCTTGCGCAGGAAAATGCAACATTTGACATACCAGGGGCCCAAGAAAGACGGAAAGTCCGTGCACACAGCATCCGTACACGCGTGGATCTGCCATTTGCGTCCGTTGGCATTAATGGTGATCGCCGTGAAAGAGAAGCCGGTCGCCTGCCACCTAGGTGATCACTGGCCATGCAACACTTCATGGTAGCCCTGTGAATCGTCCATCGGTTTTGGGTATCGTTGGAAAATATCCCCGCGTCGGTGAGTACGTCTAATCTGATGCCTTCCGATCATTTGTTTGGATATCGGTGATTGCTCAAGGTGCGGCACGTCGAGAGCAGACTCTGCACTCCAATATTCGAATAGATTCTCATGCATGGGCAGAAGCGTCTTGGGTGTTCCTTTGTGTGCTCTGACATGTAGATTTTATGTTTCCCATATGCGGTCTCTGTAATACGTGCGTGCTAGTATAGCATGCACAGGCCACGAAGTTCCGCTCCAAGACAAATGCATCCCGTATGGGTTGAGTAAGGCTGTCATAATAAGTACAGGGACGAGTAATGAACAAAAAAAGTATGAAAATCATAAAACGACGCTAGTATCGCCCATAGGGATGGTAGCTGTGCTGCCCCTTGGTTTGAAAGCGAGTAGGTCCCACATTTCCATGATGCGGTGGATGTCCTCCAGGACCGCCCCTCATTGCGGCAGGCCCGCGGGGGATGTGTCCGCCACCACCAGGTCCAATACTCCCTCCGTATTGATTCATTGGGGATCCACCTCCACCATATCCCCCCATACCGTAACCGTGACTTCCACTTCCCATGCGACCACCTCCCCCACTCCCCATCATTCCCCCACCATAGTAATTTCCACCTCCGCCACCGCCACCGCCACCATATCCACGGCCACTCATTCCGCCACCCATCATCGGATTCATCCCATCGCCCACCATACTCATCATGGGGTTCATTCCGCCTTGCCAGCCTCCGTTAGCAATCATGCGTTGATAAAGCATCGCCATGACGTTAGGATCGAACGGAGTCGGGCGGCTACTTCGCGGCTGAGGCTGAGCCCCATAGTTACTGTTATTTCCACTCGCACCTCGTGGCTGAGCAAGCTTAATTTCAATCTGGATGCCAGCATCGTTAAGCAGTGTGATGGCCCAAATAGTGGAGCGGTTGTGAGATGACGCACCATTTTGCCTTCCAACTCAAGATTTTGAATTTGCACAAGCTTTTCAACGGCGGGAGCATCCTCGAATGTGACGAAACCGAAACCTTTACTCCTACTGGAGTCACGATCCACCATCACGGTGGCATCGACAACTTTACCAAATTGATTGAAGAATTGTTTCATGCTCTCAGTAGTGACAGATGGTGCTAATCCACCAACAAAGATCTTTTGGGTACGGCGGTGCTCGAGACGTGGGATGGCACGTTTAGGATCAATCTGAGTAGGAGGGATGAAGACAAAGATATAGCAAAGTAATATCTAAATGTAATACTAATAATCACACTTACAATTTTTCCGTCAAGGTAATGCTCTCGGACCATAACAGCATTTACAGCCGCGGGATCTTCAAATGTCAAAAACGCAAAGCCTCTAGAGCGTCCTGCAGGATCTCGCATAATAGTGCATGCATCGATCTTTCCGAATTGGGAAAAGTATGCACGAAGTGATTCTGAACAAAATAAGTGACGAAGCAGTGTTATGATCAAGACTTGATGCGCTCCATCACACCGCGCGAAGCATGGATAGATGATAAAGGAATCTAGCTAACCGTCAGTAGTATCCCAATTCAAGCCCCCAACGAACATTTTCCTGATTTAAACGACCAGTAAGGTATGGAAGACAATCCCGGAGACAGTGCAACGACCGAGTAGCGATAATAAAGACAAATATCCATTAGTATTTGGTAACCCAGAAGCAGAGGAGCGAAAGTGGACTACGAGCTAGATCCATGTAGCAATAATGCAATGGGTATGTGCTAATGGCAACTACGTAGGTGACACGGCGAAGTAGTCGACATAGCGGTGCTAGAGCTAAGTGGTAGTCTTTATGACGTGTATACTCTATCGACGATGGAGTGATGCCGAAAACGTATAACGCGGAGTATCCATGGGGGGTGCACGATGATTGTCATTAGAACACTGCTCACCCTTCATCTCGCATCTCGGAGGGTCTGATTGAGCGACCTTCGCTAGAGCCTCCTGCATAGCCATCATGATCTTGGTCAGCAGGCTGATCATACGAAGCAAACTGCTGTGCAACTTGAGAAGACTGATTTCTAGAGGACGATCCAGATATTTCATCCGTAAATACAGGTATCGAAGAAGTCCCTTCTGGGGGAGGAACTGGGGCTACGTTCGTGGACACAGTGGATTGTGAAGGAGGCTTAATGGTAGAAGGAAGCGCCGGAGGTGGGGTGTTCCCAATGGAAGGCATAGGAGTTGTACCACTCGCAGGCTCAAGCGCTGCTGCTCCAACCGCAGAAGGTATCTTGTCAGCTGGTGTGGCGTCGTTTGTTTTTACCTCTTGCTCGTCAGACTCGTCAACGCCATAGAGGTCTGGAGAAGATAAGAATGGCTGCAACCACTGAGAAATAGGCCAGGAGTACCTTTGTAGAGATCCGCATCCAGATCATTGCTTGACATCGTGGCTTCGCTTAAGTTACAGGTAAATTGACTGAATTGCCAGCCTTTGCCAGCGCAAGTTGTAGATCCAGTTGATGAAAAAGGGGGAACGGAGATATCCGGAGGTGGCTGCGTCCGGATGCAAATACTTTGTTTTGACATCCCTCCGTCAACAACAACACACCACCATCTCGAACAACGCGACACCTCCCACCTATTTGAAGGCCAATCTCAGCGGCTTCTCCAATGTCCGATATGACCCCTTACACTTCTGGGTGGAAGGCACTCAAGAAAAGCGAGCTTATCGGCTTGGCGGATAAGTTAGGTGAGTAATCACGGCCCAGCGGCTCAGAGCAGCAGTTGTTGACACAGTGGAGCGTTCTAGGTATACCTGCCGACACTGCTAGTTTAAAGAAACCCGAGATTATTGGGAGCATACAAAGGTTTCTTGATGAGAATGAAGGGACCCTCAGCGAGATTCCCAAGTTCAAAGGTACCAGCGAAATGATGATAACATGGCAATGTTCAGACGCGTCTAACTGCGCAATTTTAGCTCTGTATCCAAGGAGGGTGTCCTCGAATCGTCGAGGAAGCCTGCTTCCTAACCAGACGTACGTGGACTTACGCGCTTTCAAGGTAGCACTGAGCGTTATCGTTCCTCTAGTGAAGAATCGTCTGAGACTCCAGATCCCCCGGCCCCTGTGGCACCAGCGAGTCGCAGGGGAGCCGGCAGGTTTCCCCCTAGAGCATCTTCGTCGACTGAATCAGCAGAAGGGAGCAAAGCTGTTGCACATGCTCTCAGCACTCCGTCGCGTATTCCTTTACCCCCATCCCCCATCAAATTGATCCAGGACTTTTCGGCGAAGGTGCGTCCCGAAATCGACGCAGTTGTTGCGAATGCGGCTCGCGCCAAGGATCAACTTGGAGTTGAAACCAATAGGATCCTTGCTAAAACCAAGATGGTGCGTCCACGAGGATTCTTATGTGAATCCCTTAATTACGTCCTCATGTCTCTCCAGTTCCTATCCGACTCCGCAAATCTGACGAGTATCACTGTTTTATGGGAGCTATTTTTCCTTGTTATGGCGTTTACACCTGTCGAGTACACCCCGGTAACATCGCTCCTGTGGCTTCAATGTCGATGGTGTTCTGATTTACCTGTTTACCAGTTCCAACTGCCCCCTTCAATTTCGAAGGTGCCTTATACCGTTAACGTCCCTCATCCACCAATGACTCTCATATATTGGGAAACTTTGTTCATTCTATTGGCTAAGTGGAGTCTCCCGACGCTCATCATCCCCCAAGCTACCGGAAAACTGGTCGCTTTTTCCGACAGGCGGGACATTGACCCCTTGACATCTAGCATTGCGCGACTCGTCTGCGTGCTTTCACTACCCTGGGTGGTTGCTGAGGAGTTATTAAGCTTAAACACTCGCATACTCGCTGCTTCTACGGCGCTGGCATTTGCTGTGGCAGAAGCCTTGAACGATCGAAAGGATCGAGCAGAGATTGCTAGCTCGCTTGTGAAGCACGGCTGAGAGCCCGGATAATGAGGGGTTTTTTTTTGCAGGACAAAGAACATGACGTATTTATTGGATTTATTCTTATTCTTCCTCTGTGGTTCTACTTGATCGTATGAGAAAGACGCACCGTAATTCTCGGCCATTCATTTGGAGGAATTCTGACCCATGATCTACATGATTTCTTTCCGTACATTGTCCACCGTACGAACGAATTCCCTGACTCGCCGTTTGTGTCCTAGCATTGTATATTGGGCGGATGTCAACGTTCATGTCACGCTATGTTGTATGGTTCTTTCCGTGGATTCTGCTATGTATCTTTCATTTTCCTGTCACGTCCCGCAGTTGTTCTTTACCCAATCGAAGGTCTAGCCATGATAAGCTCCGAATTGGCATTAATTCAACTGAAACGGTCGGTACATTATATCCACGTAAGAGAATAAAAAGGATGCATACATGAAGGAAAGACATCTTGTGTACAAAATACTCTACACATCTCCGACCCATACACAAACTTCAATTGACAGCCACACCATTGGCCTGAGTTTGTCTGGCAAGTTGAGCTTGTCTTTCCTTTTCTCTCTCCGCCATGGCATCGTAGGCGTACACGATCGGTTTCGCCTTCGACCGACTGAGATAGTCAAGCGAATCGTCAGAATCGCTGTCTCCAGAGGTGGGCGTATTAGAGCGTTGCTCTTTGAATAGGTCATCAGGATCGAAGGTGTCAGCTAAAAAGAAAGAAAGAATTAAATTTAGATCGGTAGCAGGCATCACAAGATAGGGTGCAAGTTGGCACCACATGCCTCTAAAATGAGCGTGGGATCAGAACAAAAAAGATGACACTTACGATCGACACGCCTCTCGACGGCTTTCCGCTTCCCTAACGCTTTGGCGCTAGGTCGAATGGGCGTTCTGTGCTCTTCGTTATCAAGGTCGTCCAAAGATTGCGACCTCTCGGGTGGTTGAGATGATACCGCGTCGGGTAATCGACGAGTAGATTGCGGCGAGTCGCGACCGGTCGTAGTAGGAGCATTCAAGTGAAGGGGTTGAGGGGTCGAGATAGCGACACGTTCGAGGGCATTTCGTGTAATTTCGATGTTCGTCCCTGGAGGTGGTGTTTCGGTGACTGCCCTCGTTCTTGGGTCGTGTAGTGTGACATCGGGCGAAGGTGAGCGCGAATACGTATGTTGAGCTCGGGGACCATGTGGAGCTGTACGATGAGGGCCCGAAAAGGGGGTAAACTGAAAGGGGGTAGCTGGAGTGTGAGGTTGTGGTGAGTGGGGGTTCAAAGGTAGTGACGATGAGGTGAGAGGTGCTTTATCAAGGTATGGATTATTTGATCCCCATGGTGAGGATTGGATATGCGGGGGGTGATTGTAAGTTGGGTATCCCTTCTCGGCTTGAAGAAATCCAGGTTGGATTGTTGGTGGAACGGATGGAGGGCTGGTGGGAGGGGATGATTCGATAATGTTAAGGGTGTTCGGTGAAGCGGGGCGGGACGAGCTGCCGCCGCCAACATCTCGTTCCGGAGCATATAGTGAGCCATCTGGCGCAACAAACACATTCTGTCCAAACAAGAGCAAGCCAGTTGGTCGCCTGTTGTTACCTAAGCAAATGAAGCCCTTCACGTACAGATCGGTCAATTCTAATCTCGACTCTACTTCGTTCCTGGACATATCTCTCCTCGCGCTCAGCAGCAGCAACCCTCAGCAAATCTTCGTATATTTTGCAAACTTCCACCATACTTTGATGTGTCGCCAATAGAGTGCCGAGTAGGTGCTCCTCAACACCCCCTGACGGAGTCTGTCTCGTATGCTGAGTGTCATTAGTGGTGACATGGTTGGCGTTTGCAAGTCTCTGCTCCTTCCTTGCGGCAGTAGCCTTATTAGCAAGTGATTGAGCCCATGGAACCTGTGACTGTGCTCGATCTCTCGACTTCGTTGCCCGTTCGTAGAATCCCTGACGCCAGAATGGAACTCATGAGTCCTCTCCTTAAAATGATAATGATAATAATACCCTGAGTATATCCCCGTCCTGGTCCTCAACACTTGCCGCGGTAGCGTACACAAGCTGCTCATGAAACATAGTCGCCAGATTCTGAGCTTCCTCGCACTCTTTATAGACCCTTGCCATCTCTTCTTCGAGTGTCGGAAGTCTGACAGTGGGTGACCGTAACTGAGAGCGTTCATGTTCGAAATCGATATGTCCCGTTGAACGTCTAAGAGTCCGTAGAGCATCTGCTGGACGATTACCATGGTGTTGGTGAACGGAGGGGTGTTGGTCGGAATGAGGTGGCCATTTCGCCTCGGGGGGCCTGAACATGGGATCGTCAAGATTGGGAGGAATGCCCTAATCCATCGAGACATCAGTCGGTCAGACAGGCAGACGGAGGACATCCAGCCAGCCACGTCTCGCCATGACGACCCATAACCAATGAAAAGAAGAACCAACCTGGTCTGGAGCCTCTGGTGGTTTCACCTTCCTCCAAGTAGCCACGAACGGATGTTTTCTATCCCCTCTCCCATGATCATATGCAGCATAGCCGAGGACCTCTAACAATCGTTCCTTCACAACAGGTGCTGTCTTAGAGCTAGTGATGACATCCTCAACCGCATCCATGTTCTTCTTCGAAGCGCTGGCTTCGACGAACACAGGTTTCGCGTTTCGAAGCATGATGGCCCACAATCGAGCGGCGCTCAACTGAGAAGCAGGGATAGCATACTTGAACTCCCTTCGTAACGCGCGAGCAGCCTCTTTAGCGGTCGTTTCATTCACCGAAACGCGTTCGCACAGCTCCAAGACGAAGCCCCAATCTTCCGACCCGGTGGCGGTGATCTGACCTGTAAGTATCGATATTGGAAAGAGTTAAATCAAGCGCAAGTCAGAAGGCTTTACCGCCCCTTGAGGAAGTCGTGAAGCGTACCTATTGCAGCGGTAAGATCCCATGGTGGGTCGAGCTGCTTAGACTCCTTGTGCACAGAACGACGGTCTCGATCATGGTCATGATGACGGTCCTTAGACTTAAAGAGAAAGTTACCAAGGGCATCTAGTGTCGATTCTTTCGGTTCCTTGTCAGCACCTTTACCCCCGCCAACACTTCCGATTGTCGTAGATATCATTGGGGGACTCTCTTTATTTGTTTCGATAGACGTACTGGATTTATCTTCCTTGTTATTCGCCCCGTTGGATAGTTGTTGATCTGGAGGAGTTCGGGAATCAGTCCAAGGAAAGGACTGAACGGTGCTGATAGTAGGTCTTTTTCGTAACACTTGGGGCTGTGGGGTTTTAGTAGGGGAAGAAGGTCGAAATTGCTGAGATTGTAGAGCAGAAGAATGTGTATTGGAGTGATGGAATGCAGGGGAATATGAGACGGGCGATATGGGAGAACTGAGCTGAGGATGAGGCTGTCCACTTGGCAATGATATCGGAGGTTCAGACACGCCGGACAAAGGTTTTGAGTCAACATGTGCATCCAACGTGGCTAGGTGGGATTGCTGCTGTTCAAATGGCTCGGTTGCCTCCACCCAACTGTCATCATTCGTTGTCATGTCGGAAGATCGAGGAGACGCCGGCGCAGGCGTTTTCGCAAACTGAGCATGGATGGGCGTCTCAGCTGAGGGATTTCGTGGGACTGGCGTGGGGGATGTTTTGGGCTTGTGACTCCTGAAGAGCTTTTTCATCCCTGGAACCACGATGCACCCGGTCCTACGACGTTCTTACGAACGCGGCAGCTTATGGATGGGAGGCTGCGTTATGAGGCTCGGACATAGCCGGATGTTATTCCAATCTAGGCATGTCACAGGCGCGGAGCGTGCCATCAAGAATTCAATTCTACGCCAGCTTTTGTGACTTCCCAAGATGATCAAAAGGCGCTGTATGTGTTGGTAATCACCACGTGTGTGCTGCCTGACAGCTCCCGGAGGGCGATGCCGGCATAGATGGGAGGGCGTTACACATCCTAATTACACATCGACCATCGAGTTATCGATGTTCGAGTCTTCTTCGACAATACGGTGCTCCAGGTACACATTAGGTTGAGAGAAGCACTTGTACAGTCGCGAAATACGCCCGAAAAGAAACTTGGTCAATCAAAAGCTCAATCTCGGCTCCCTTGATCGCATTCAACAAGACCTGCCGAAAAGGGACTGGGCAAACTGGCCCATAGCCAAGGTTGGAAATAGGCTGTGTTAGTGCACTGCTGTCTCCGCACAATCTCATCAGATAGGCACGCAAGATGTCGCGGACCACCCTGTATTGCATGCAATGTACCACACATTCGTGCAGGTGGGCAGCGCACCTCTGCTATCAAATTCAGTCTAATTGTCCATCGCGCACACAGTAAACGATGCGCGGGTGGCTTGTGAAGACCCCCGCATTGTCCAGTGCACCTGCGCCTACACTGAATCCAAGGACCTTGCACATATTGCATGGACTACCCATCAATCGCGTTTCAGGTACAGTATTAGTTCTAATGTCCAGTCCTGCATCGGACACTTAAAGCAATGAACAAGCACTGCCCACAGTATCATACTGGTACAGCCATCACCTGCTACGCGAGCGAAGAACGAACAAATTTGAGTGTTATCATCACCAACACTGTGGGGTTATGACAACCAAAAAGTATCTATGAAAAGCATCACATATGCACCCGTACGAGAGCACAGGAGGAAAGAACGCTTTGGGGAAAAACCAAATACATGAAAAGTATTATTAAAAACGCTGTATTATTTACTATGTCGCAGTAGGTAAGTAGGTCAAGAGAGTTTTGACAGGAAATTTTTAGCTAAAAGACGAAAAGGACGGATGACTGATAATCATCGATCTCCGCCACGATAATGATCAATACGCTCTGAAGCCACTTCCCGCGCTACTCCGATGAAATTTCTCACTGACGTGATGTGCATGTTGTTGCCCACTCACATAGCTCAAAGCGACAGACAAAGGCAGTTCCGTCGAGGCCAGAAATTGGACTGCTTCTGGCGTGAGTTGGACGATAGGATATGACTCGGTAGAACGGTGCCTAGTGAGGATTGGGAGTTCTGGAGCATGCGTGAGGGAACGGGCATAAGTTGTATGTTGCTGCTGTTGCTGACCATGATGATAATGCTGGTGGTTATTCTTGGACGCAATCTCTCGGGTGTTGCTGTTATTATCGACATTATAACCTGGAAGGTCGGGGTGAGACGTTGAGATTAGGTGATGATGATGATGATAAGGAGTGGTCGCTGAAGGGGCGAGGAACGAATTGTTCGCATTCCCCGGAACGACGACTTGTGACGATTGCGATTGCAAAGATTGAGCAGAATGATATGATGCAATATACGAAGCATACGGGCTATAAGAATGGTCAGACACCGACTGTGGCGGCGTTGCGGGACGATCGAGGTTGTGTGTAGATAGGGGTGGAGATGAAGATGAAGATGTAGAGACTGACGTAGATGGCGATAGATTTGTCAGAGGATGAATCGAAGAGACGGGGATCGAGCCGATTGAAACTAGATGGACCGGCTGGTTCACGAGTTTATTCGAATAAGTAACGGGTGGTTGATGACTCTGATGCACGGCCAACGGTTGGCCTGCAACTGCTGCTGTTGCTGCTGTTGCTGCTGCTACCGCTGCTGCATGCACCGGCGTCGTCAAAGGATGTACATAACCCAAACCCGAATTCGGCTCAAGAATTACTTCATCGCGGGATAAGGGACACGGATAAACAAGTTGTGACAGATCGTGAGGACCGTGTCGTCCGGCGCGGCTGTTGTTGATGATGCCGCCGATATAAACGGGCCTCGCCTTTTCCGCAACTGCGACCATCTCTTCGGCACTGCCGAATGGAGAAAATGATTGCGACACATCATGATGGAAAGTGCTAGTATTTTCCGTATTAGCGTTTGTCGTCATTGTCGTCGGTGGAGTGTGATAAGGGTGCTGGTGGTGGCGAGGGAGATGATCGGGAGAGTATTGGGTGGGTGATTCGCTGGCAGTAACAGAGGGCGTTGTTGCAGCAGAAGATGTTTCTGGTGAACTGATTTCGTTCGACAACTCGTCCACCATGTAGTTATGGGGCACTTTGGTTGTGAAAAGATTCGGATCATTGGAAGGTGGCGGATCGCACATTCCATTGCAATTACGCATATGCCTGTTCCGGTTACTAACAGTCGAAAACCTCCTCTCACACAAAGAACACTCATGGGCTAAGGGAAAATTACTCAGTCACAAACGGTCCTGACGGCTCGTAGAGCAGAACATCCTACTTACGTTTTTCGCCAGTGTGCACTAGGATATGCAAATCCCTAGCGCTAGGCCTGTCGAACATCTTCGTACACTGAGGACAACCATATCTTTTAGGTCGGGGATGTGGTCGAGTCCCATCAGGATCGTATATGGAGAAGTACGTTCGCTCGCCACCAGAAGAAGACCCGTTTACGGAAATAATGGCCTCCTTTTGCTTGAGGGTGATATTGGAAGTGACCCGACCGTCTGGGGTGGCGGGAACATGTGCGATGATAGCGCGGTGGGAATTATGTAAGTCGTGTGCGGCGTCTGGATGCAAGATGTTTCTCCATCGTTCAGGATGGGATGGGAAGCAAGGAGCGTGTTCTGAGGAACGGGAGGTATCCATAACGAAGGCTATGGTGGAAGGGGGAGAAAGATGAAGATGTGGAGAGGCTTTGAGGAGGCGAGTAGATGATTGAGGGTCTCTAGGATGGAGACTTAAAACGGCTCATATTGAAATTAGATCGAGGATAGTTAGTATGGATGGTGAAGGGGATGGTAGAATAGAATAGAACAAGAATGAGAAATGAAGTCTGATGAAGGTTGGAGCAAGAAATGGAAGACGGTAGTATGCATGGTCTCAGCTAAAACGCTTGTTTCCCCTTTATTAAAGAGAAGCACTAGTACTGTGTGCTTCAAAGTCGCTTAAAAGTGCTGTAAAAGGTTTAAGTAGCAGTAGCTCCGGAATTAAACCCCGTTCGTGAAAAAAGTCGCGCGAGCGTTTCCAGAAGGAGTCGCATCAGCAACATAGACAGGTAAAATTCTTGTCTGCCAACCAAAAAAAAAAACACATACACACACACATATATATACTTAAAACCACCAAGGAAGCTCAGGGTTAACTGTGACAAGTGTGGAGCATCTCTTCAGGTCAGGACACATCGTTTAGGTGGCGGGAGGGAAAGATGCTGTCGACTTTGATCAAGTCCAGCACCTGTCACTCATGGCCAAGGTGATACCAAATTAATGTCTTGGGCCATGAAAGAAATGTTCCATGAGATATGACGCTTCAATTCGGGCGTAGCCAAGGTGTACGACGAGTGAGGGATGCGTTGTCTATCTTGACTTGATGCATGGATACACCGCTGAAATAATGATGGAACTAAAGATATCATCACTTCTTAGCAGGTACCGCGAAAGGACTTGAAGGAAGGAGGCGGCCTGTTTCTTTCGACCCTCCCTCCCAGCATCCCTCCTTCTCCCTCTCCCTCACTCTTCAAACGGCGAAGAAACGGGAAAAAACGTTTGTCCGTCGGTACAAGTCCAATCTGAAAAGGTCATGCCACCCATCGGCCGATGCAAGAGAAGGGGGAGGGAGACTCACTTTATTTCGTGAATGTTCATCTCTTCCAACTTTCTTAAATCATTCAACGCTGGAAGACTGAAGCCCTCTCTTCTTCACCTGAGCCACAATTCAAAACCAGGAAGTTGCAATCAAACAAGCCCGTTTCAAAGCCTGCGAGTCCCATGGTTCAAACAAGATAACGACCGAGGTAGCAACGAAGCTGATAACCAAGACAACCGTGATGAAAGCAAAGCGAAGCTATAAGCGGTAACAGAACGATTGTGCTATTAAGCAGCCGAAGTTCATTATCGTGCATAGGTCTAGTGTTCGCCTGAGGAGGCGGGACATTTGCCGTCGTCAGTAAACCACATCCTGAGCCTGCTTGAACCAAAATAGTACATCATAAATTACCTACTCATTCACCAGGAAACCTCGTACGATGTGTGGATGACTTGTTCTGTGAGTCGATCGCCCGTCTCGATCCGCCGTCCAATGCACGGGCGCGGAAAGTCAACAAGTCAATGGCCGAGAACATCCACAGGGTATTAAAGGGCTAAGCATATAGCACAAGTGTAGTGATCATGTTCGCACTAGCACTAGTAGTGTTTGCAGCAGCAGAAGAAGTGACCCCACCCACATTCGTATCGAGACTCTCTAGTAAGCCCATGCATATAGGAGATCTTTTGGAGCAAGCAAAACTCTGTGTGAGATAAATCCAGGGTCGATATCAAAGGGATAAACTATTGCTTATCCCGTGCAATCACGCCCACAACACCACCGATTCATTTCGGCATTTTCATACTCATTCTTTATTTTTTTTTTGTTCGTCTGGGGTTTAGCGGCGACAGGACTGAAGAGAGAGCGCTCAAAGCAACAGGGTGTTCAGGACTCTTGTGGCTGTCAGAGGAAACTTTTATGGAAAGTTCGAGTTCAATGTGGGACATCCATTTTCCTTGGGTGTCAAAAAGGTTTGACTCAATTAGGTTACGTATGTATAGCCACTCCCGCACGTGATCCATCCTCATCCTGGGAAAATTTTGTTGACTCTCTAGCTGTGAGACTCTTGGCGTAATATTAGAGCTGCCGCCTTAGACAGGAGATCTCCCAGTCATTCCTTCGCCAAACTCAACCATAACTTTCTCCAGGCACATTTGCCAGTGGAGTGTAACATTAGCTCTACTGAAGCAAACTCGCGGTGCCAAACTTTGCACAAGTGTCACGTTTCCCTTTTCGCGTGCTGTTCCATTTTCGTCAAACATCAATCGAAGCAATCGTACACGAAGAACCATGGCAAATACAGCTACCGATGGCCCAATCGAGCTTCAAAAGGCTCGTATCTTCAAATTTCTCATGAATGATCGTACATTGCTGATGCCTGTTGCCCGTGCAACTTCGATTTTACCACAACCGTGCCGATCCATCCAAATATTCAATGCTCACGCATCCATACTCTTTCACGATCCAACAGACAGGGAAGCGCGACTTCCTCGTCGGACTCGAAAAGAAAGCCCAAGCACGATGGGCCTCCGAAAAACTCTTCGAAATAGACGCGCCATTCGAGTCATCCGATACCCACACAACAACCACACAAATAACAGCAGCAACACCCAATTTCTTGCCGGAGGATGCTCATCTTACCCCCGCTCAACTAAGAGAGAAATATCCCAAGTGGCTTGGCACGTTCCCATTTCCGTATATGAATGGGAGCCTACATCTTGGACACGGTTTTACGATTAGTAAAGTAGAGTTTGCGACTGGGTATCAGAGGATGCTCGGGAAGAGGGCTTTGTTCCCTGCTGCATTTCATTGTACCGGTATGCCGATCAAGGTGTGTTGACAACCCCCCCCCCCTTCGTCGAGAATCGTTCCTATCACAATATACCTTGTTAGGCAGCAGCTGACAAACTTGCCCGCGAAATGGAGTTGTTTGGACCTGATTTCCTCGGATACAAGGAAGAAGAGGAGGTGGAGGAATCTTCAACAACTGAAAAGGAAAAGTCTGGTCAAGTCGGCAAGGCTACGAAAGGAAAGGTGAACGCAAAGTCTACTGGACTCAAGTATCAATTCCAAATCATGCTGAGCATGAGCGTTCCTCGGGAGGAAATAAAAAAGTTTGCTGATCCTGTTCATTGGCTTGGTTACTTCCCTCCTATCACCATCGTAAGTTGTTCCCCCCCCCCCCCTTCTCTCTCTCTCGCGTGATCCTTGTTAAAAACAAAAAATTATGGGCATGCCTTTTACGCTCGATTTTCAGAACGATCTTACAAACTTTGGCGCACGTATCGATTGGCGTCGATCCTTCATCACGACCTCGGTCAACCCATACTTTGACTCGTTCGTACGCTGGCAAATCAATAAACTCCGTTCTCAAAACAGGATCAAATTTGGAGAACGGTATACTGTTTATTCACCTAAAGATCAACAACCTTGTATGGATCACGATCGATCTGCTGGTGAAGCTCTTGGTCCGCAGGAATATACTGCTCTCAAGATGCAAGTCGTCCAGTTTAGTGAGAATGCGTTGAAAATACTGGGTGAGGTCGTGAAAGGGAGGAAGGTGTATTTGGTTGCTGCCACTCTGAGACCCGAGACGATGTACGTTGTGACTTCCTCCCATCAGCATTCTTTTTTTTTTCGGTGAATGCTAACCCAACCCTGGGCGGTGACTTTCTTTCCAAACTCCCTTTTCACCCGCTTCCCCCCATACACACACACCAAACATATGATCTGAATAGGTACGGCCAAACCAATTGCTTCGTCGGTCCATCTCTCAAATACGGGCTATTCGCCACGTCGAAGAATGATGGGGTTCTCTACGTTTGCACTCATCGAGCGGCTCGGAATATGGCTTATCAGGGTGTGTTTGAGACGCGGGGTGTGATCGACCAAGTGGGCGAGGTCGAGGGGAAGGTGCTGGTTGGGACCAAGATCAAGGCGCCATTCGGAATCGTCCCTAAAGTCTATGTCCTTCCTATGGACTCCGTTCTCAGTACGAAAGTAAGTCTGAACAAAAATCACATGTTCTTTGTTTTTGTTTTTGTTTTTTCGGTCCCACGTCATTTTTTTCATTATGAGTGGGGGGGGGTCATGAAAAGGGGAAGCCGCGCCGCTAATTGGTTCTCTCTTTCTTTTTTCCCCTAACTCTATATTAGGGAACAGGAGTTGTCACCTCCGTTCCGTCAGACTCCCCCGATGACTTCCAGACTCTCACCGATCTACGGAAGAAGCCTACCTATTATGGTATCGACGCATCGTGGTGCTCCATAGACCCTATTCCTGTCATCTCCACTCCGACTTATGGTAACCTCTCTGCACCCGCCGTCGTCGCCCAACTCAAGATCCAATCTCAAAAGGATGCGAAACAACTCGGTGAAGCCAAAGAGATTGTTTATAAGGAGGGATTTTATAGTGGCACGATGATCGTTGGAGATTTCAAGGGTGAGGCGGTACAGGAGGCGAAACCCAAGGTTCGGAAACAGATGATCGAGGCGGGACTTGCGTTTGCGTATGCGGAGCCTGAGGGTTGATCGTTAGTCGGAGTGGGGAAGAGTGTGTGGTGAGCATGGAGGATCAGTGGTATTTGGATTATGGCGAGCGTGAATGGAAGGAGGAAACTCAAAAGTGAGTTCGTGTTCGGGTTTTCTGGGGAATGATTCTTCTTCTCATTCCTCTCGGATAGACTTCTCGAGAAGATGGAGACTTACTCAAGCGAGACTCGGCATGCGTTCGAGGGGACTCTGGGTTGGTTGCATCAGTGGGCTTGTGCGCGTAGTTTTGGTCTCGGTACGCGCCTGCCGTGGGATCAACAGTACCTCGTCGAATCCCTGAGCGATTCAACGATCTACATGAGTTACTACACGATTGCTCATCTTCTTCAAGGTACCAAGTGATAAGTGATTCATAAACTCGGCATTTTGGACAGTCAATTTCACGAAACCAAAACTTTTTTTTTTTTCAAATGCAGGTCACTGGTACGGCGATAAACCAGGTCTTTTGGGCATCCAACCCGAACAACTCACGGATGAAGTATGGGATTACATCCTACTAGAAGATTCACCTTTCCCATCGACGTCCACGATCCCTCACTCATCTCTATCCCGCCTGCGCTCATCCCTACGCTACTTCTACCCACTCGACCTCCGTTCCTCTGGGAAAGATCTCATTCCGAATCATCTCACGTTCGCTCTCTACAACCATGTCGCATTGTTCCCGGACGAATACCGCCCTCAGAGTTTCCGGATCAATGGACATTTGATGTTGAACGGGAAGAAGATGAGCAAGTCGACGGGAAACAGTTTGACGCTTAGGGAAGGGGTGGAAAAGTTTGGAGCGGATGCGACGAGGATTGCGTTGGCGGATGCGGGGGATGGGATCGAGGATGCTAATTTTGATGAGAAAACGGCGAACGCGACGATTTTGAGGCTACATACGCTTATTGAGTGGTGTCAGGTGCGTTTTTTTTTTGGGTTCGCGTTTGGTTTCGACGAAGGTGAAGCTAACTTGATGGTCGTGGGCGCACGCCCGAATTGTGCCCCCCCTTTTTTTCGTTTATAGGAGATGATGAAGGAGATTGATAACCCACAATCCACTTTGTTGAGACGTGGTCCTTTGAATTCGTACCATGATATCGTCTTCCAGAGCGAAATCTTTCGTCAGATTGGGCTGACGGAAGCTGCATATGAACAGTACGTTTCTTTTTTTCAAATCTCTTTTATTCGCATTTTTTTTGGGGGAGATTCTTATCGCGTTTCACTTTCCCTGCCCCCCCTTCTTACTACCTGCGTTTATCCTAAATCATTGACCAATGGCGGTACTGGTACTTGGCCCGTCTCCTCAACCTTCTCGATACGATGATCCAACCGCCACTCGAAAAACATTAGAATGAACTACAAAGAAGCGCTGAAAGAAGGATTCTTTGAAATGCAAACTTCACGGGATTGGTACCGCGAAGTCACATCCATCGACATCGGAGGAGGAGAAGGGGGTGGAAGTGGGATGCACGCTTCGCTGATAGAATTATGGATTCGAACGTCCGTTTTACTTGTCACGCCGATCGCACCGCATTTCGCAGAGTTCGTTTGGACGGAGGTGTTGAGGGAAGTGGAAAGCGTTCAGAAAGCGAGGTTCCCTGTTGTCGCTGATGTTGATGGCGAGAAGGAAGCGGTGGATGCTGCTGCTGCGATCGAGGCGGGAGCGTATATGAGGAATACGATAAAGACGATTCGAGATGCGGAGATTTTGGCGGAGAAGAAGAAGAAGGGTAAGAATGTAAAGGGAGGGTCTTCTGGTGGAGGAGGAGGAGGAGGAGGAGGGAAGAAAGCTGTGAGGATCTTTGTGGCGACCAAGTACCCAGAGTGGCAAGATGTGAGCGTTCAGATCGTTAAAGAGGCGTTCGATGAGAAAAGCGGGATTGTGGATGATGAGAAGGTGAGGGAGGCGTTGACGAAGAAAGGGTTTATGAAGGATAAAAAGGTGATGCCGTTCGTTCAGGCTTTCAAGGTGAGTTGGAACTTTAACGTTTCTCTCTTTTTTATTTATTATTATTATTTCTTTTCTCCCTTCTCTCTCCCTTCATGCCTTTACTTGGAGTTGCGGGTGAGCGGGCGATCGGGCAAGGCATCCCTTCCCTGGACTCATCCCAACGCCACCCATATTCCTTTTTTTGGGGTTAATGACTTCCCTTCCCCCCTCTCCCGTTCCCGTTCCCGTGCCCGCTCCCGTTTGCCTTTCCCCTTTATTGATGAATCATTTCACAAAATATTGCTAGAAACGGATTGGACAATACGGACCCGGGATGGCTTTCAAACGAACGCTCCCCTTCAACGAAGCTGAGACGCTGAAAGTGATATTGCCGTATTTGGTCCATTCGCTTGGGTTTGCAAAGGGGGAAGTCATTACGCAGGAAGATGGGAGGAGACGTCTTGAAGAGGGAGGAGGGAAGGGAAAGGGAAAGGGAGAAGGAGAAGAATGGAAGGGCGCGGCTGGGGCGATTGAATCCGCGGAGCCGGGGCAGCCTGGGTTTCAATTTTATGGCGTTCAGGAGTAGGACGGGGTTGGAGGAGGGGAGGGGGGGGGGGGGGAGAGGGGGCCGAGCGCGGCGATGGGCGCGGCTCTCGGGGCGGGGACGGGTTACCGTGGGATGGGTGAAAGATATTCGTAGTGATGATCATGGTGGGCACTCGGAATGGTTGTGTGCGGAGATGAACAGTCCTTTTGCGGGGATTGGGATATATCTTGATAGATAGGTAAAACGGATAAATCGATACATATTAGATCTTGTTTGTTAAATTCTAGTTTTTTCTGGACTGAAGTGGGGATTCGAAGACCCGTCCTCCCTCCCTCCGCGGTTCACTCGCTAGCTAAGTACCTGGTAGATGACTGGTTGGTGATAATCGATGATGTACATATGGTCTGTAAGGGAAAAAAAAGTGAACGTGTTAGTTGTGGTTGTAAACAAATACGTTGATGCATGCGGGACCTGCGCGCCGGGCCCCACTTTTGTGCATATATGTGTTTTCGTGACGATCATTAAAGAATATATATATAATATTATCGGTGGAGAGAGAGAGAGAGAGAGAGGCCGCGGCCGCGCTACTAAACTTCATGCGTATGTACGTACAGTACGTAAACGCGTTTTGCGCATGCAATGCGTACTTAGAGCAGGGCAGGGCTTGTATTAAATGTAATTAGGTTCGGTTTTTTTTCCCCCAGTCGTTCTTCCTATCTCTACTTTTGGGCTATGTACACACATGCAGGAGCCAAAGGGAAAAGAGCGAAGTTTGGTGTATATGTATTATTTGGCTTGATACTAGTATATAGGGGAGGCGCGCGAGAACTGGGATTGGTACACTTGATGTACAGCCGATCAGCATCGAAATTGTTGATTTTTCTGCTATGGATCATGGATGATGATAATGAGGGGAAGGGGGACGTACATAACTGATGATAGTATACGAATGCGCGTGGTTGTTGTTGTTGTACTATGTTGTATGTTGTTGTGTATGGAGGGAGGGAGATGTCAATCGTGTGGTGTCAAACTTTCCCCCCGAAGCCCTGGTAGATCGATTGTGAAACCCTTCCTAGGCGCTAATACAATTTTTAAGATCGATCGGTCGAGGAATCAATAGGTGTATATATTTAACTGGTGACGTTCCAGGGCCTGGTGTTACTTACTATGTATGTAGTTGTGTGATGTATGAAAGCTTGGCGCACTATACTAGCGGCGCTGGACGCTAGTGTACGAATCATATGTTCCCATGCGGAAACATATACATATGCGATACACGTGTGGCGGGGGAAAAGGGGGAGGATATATGTGATGTGTGTACGTACACACGTTTTCCATTGCTCATTGCAATCCCCCATGCAATTGGATGCCGAGTCTTGATATGATCTGCCCGTCGTTAATTATACGGCATTTGGGAAACAAACAAAAAAAGTAGTATTCGTATGAGTGTACTACTGTAATAACGTAAAACCGTGTGCATATCCAATTGGATTGGCAGGATAAGAATGTTTTGTTGGAGCTCGTCGAAGATATATCTATCTATCAAGATGTGATGATCCCTGGTTTGTATGTGTATGATACCGTAAAGGGGTAAGGTCGGTTCCTTTTTCTCGAGTTCAAAGTGGAAGGCATTGAAGCCGCCACCACTACACTGGAAGGTGCCGAGGGGTCGGTCGTCAATTCAATTGAATCTCGATTCAATCCATTCGCTTAGGGATTCCCACTCCCCGAACTCCACCTTGTTTTCGTTGTGTGTGTGTGTGTGGACGTTCCTTCTGGTCACACCTTCGGTGCGTGGAACCCCCGAGTAGAGTAAACAATCATCTGGGAACTTTTGCATATCATTCCGGCAGCTCTCTGGCATACATTCAAGGCGATAACTATGGGTGAATGTCCAAGGGGAAAGAACTCTCCTTCCTTCGCCTTCGGGTTCGGGTTCGCCTTCTCGGCATATGAATCTGAATTCATGACTGAAAAAGCGACTCCAAGAATCCTCAGCTGACTACTTACTCTGCTATGGATCGATCATATCCTGACTTGGAAAATCCGTTCTGGCAATCCCTGATCTACTTTACTACCATTCATACTTCATACTTTTTACTCGGATGGATTTGGGCAATAAAAACTTTCATCTGAAACCAAAAGTACTTCTAACGAACTCGAAGCATTGTGTGTATTATGTTACCTCTCATGAACAGGAGAAACCCTCGTGTAACGAAATATAGCGCCGTTTTGGACTTTCTCTCCACTTTACGACTACTTTATAAAAACAACCCAAAACGATAAACGTGTTTTGGCATAAACCCTTCCCCCTCCTCTTACCTATATCATCCTCTCTTGCTCTCTGTCACACCACACGGTACACGGTACACGTACTACCTTCTTGCAACAACAGTGGTGGAGGGGGGCTTGATCAATGTCCTCCACCTTCTTTCGCACGAACGGCCATCTGCCTCTTCGTCCTGGGTTTCCTGATCTTGGTACTGACGTTGCTACTACTACTGCTGCAACGACTGTCGGAAATGGATTCGATCGTCAGGTTCCCTTTTCGAACTTCTGCTCTGGTACTCGTACTCGTAACATGATCGACCACTCTCCTTTTCTTCTTCGACAACCACCACCACCACCACCACCACCACCACTCCCCCCGCTCAATCATCATTACCAACAAGTTCTCTACCAATCTTCCTCGCAGTATCCTCCATTACTTCCGTCTCCCTTCTCTACCATCTCCACCAGCACCAGCACCACTGCCGCCACCACCCCTCATCCCACCGTCTCCAACAACTCCAACTCCAACTCCAACTCCAACTCCAACCGCAACAATCCCAACCAGTTCAGCACCACCACTAGCACCACCATCAATCCTAGTCCTAGTAACACTACAGCAACAGACAGGCTCGATCACCTCTTCATCTCCACCAAAAGTAAAATCGTTCGTTTGTTCGATCTCGAACGTTCCCCTGTTCATTTCGTTCCTGCTCTTCTGGCTGAACGTGGGATTCCTAAACCGGTTTCTGCTTGGACGACGACGATCACGATCGATGCGACTACGACTACGACTACGACTACGACCGGGAGGAGCGGCGGTGTGACGGCGGCGGGCCCGGGGAAGAAGAAGAAGAAGCAGAAGAAGAAGATACCAGTGGAGGTTCTCGGACTCCGAGTCCCTGGTGGTTTAGCTTCTTTTCCTACTCCTTCTGCTTCGAGTAATGGGTCTTTTTCGACTGGCGTCAATAACAGCGTCGATAGTTCCTCCTCGTTCGACGATGACAATGACGATGACGATGACGATGACGAGGAGGCTAACAATTTTCCTCCGTCGGCTTCGGCTAGTGATGCAGGTAGTGCTGCGGTGCTGGTGCTGGTGGTGGTCCTGGTCATGGTGGTCCTGTTGTGAACGATGCGGACGTGACGGAATTGTGGCTAGTCTTCGAGACGCATGAAGCGGTGAGTTTTGGTTTTACCTTCCCTTTCTTTCGCATTTCTTTCTTCCGTTTCCCTTCCCTTGACTCCTCGCTAATCCACTTGCCTCAACTCCCTCCTCCCCTAAATTCCCACACCCGCCGTTAACGCGCTCTTTCTTTTTCTTTTACCCGTCAAATCCATCCGCTAAAACCGGAAACCGTAAACCGGAAACCGAACACTCAAAAATTTTACGTCTTGCGTTGGCGTTGGCGTTGGCGTTGGGTGACAGGCCAAACATGCTATATCAACACTCAGGACCTACCTCCCCATTTCCACGTACCTATCCATCGAACCCGCTTTACTTTCTGATTTAGAACCTTTGTCCAAGTTTCGGAGGATGAATTTGGTGTTTCCTGATAGTAGGGGACTCATTGCAGAAGCTAGAGCGAAGAGGAATGGGAATGGGAATGGGAATGGGATGGACTCGATGCGACCTTTGACGGTGATGAATGGGGGTGGATGTGTTGGTGGTGTTGGTGTTGGTGGCGTTGGTGTTGGTACAACTGCGACTACGGCTTCTGCGAATCAAGCTGCTGCGTCCTCCCTTTTTCTTGAGTATCTTGCTTCGAGGGCCCACCAAGCTCTAGAGCCGGATCAGCCCCGTGTAGAGCCCATCGGCGGAGGTGGTGGCGGAGGAAGGAGGAGGAGGTGGTGGTGGTGGTGTCCAATTGCCACCGTCCCCTCCACCAAGTCATCGCGGTCCTTTCCCCGATCGCAATCTCAACCGCATCTTCATTCCACTTATCCTTGTCCTTATCCTTATCCGTTTTCACCCCTCAGTGTGACAAGCCCCTCGCCCAACTCGGATAATATGAGCCTTATCAACAACAACAACAACCGTAACAACTTGTTGAACGTACTTCACGGTACGACAACTCCAATAACAAATCCTTCTTCCTCCCTCTTTGCCAACAACGTCAACGTCAACAACGGAGTCCCGTCTACTACCTCTTCTTGCCTTCTTTCCACCGCCACCAACCCTACACCCTCCTCCTCAACAACAACAACACCAACAACATCACAAGTACCACCACGGGAATGCCAATCCAACCAGCTCCAACTCCAGCTCCGCCGACGACGACGACCCACCAAAACGGTCCTTACGCCCGATGGGAAATCGATCGTGAATCAGGCAGTCAAGGTGGAGGATGATGAACGTTTCGTATGTGGTTGGGAATCCTGTGGTGGTCAGTTGGCCTGTTGGTATGCCTCTTCCTTTGTGAGTGGTTCTTTTTCTTTCTCCTTTATTTATTTATTATTTATTTATTTATTATTATTATTATGACTACAGACCTGGACAGGTTCGTCCGCATCCGGAATTTGGGGCTCATCCGCCTATTATGAACACGGGGAATATTGGACCTAGTGAGTTTGTTTGTTTGTTTTTTTGTGGTGGTTTGTTTGATGGATTTTGTTTTTCGTTTTTGTTTTAGTTCAGACGCAGGCGGGTGATTGGTTCTGTGGGTGTGTGGGTATACGAATTGGAGAAGGAGGAAGTCTGTCAGTCGTGTTTCCCATGTGAGTAAATGACTGGATCTTTGTTTGCTCCCGCTTGATTATGATTATTTTCGTAACATTGGTTATTTTGAGTCATTTTTCGCGTTGTTTCTCCTATTTTCCTATTTAAGGATGACAGAAGTGTCTTGAATTTTTCTGACGTCATTGCCTGTCAACCACTTGTTTTAGACGCGGATGGGAATTTGGATGGACTTGGGACGGCGGCTCAGATGGAGAAAATTGGAGTGTTGGCGAGCGTGATTCATGCCGCCAAGACTCAGGCTGCTGGGTTGGATTTGGCTGGCGGGCGATCTGCTGGTGTTCCGTCTGCTGGTGCACGACTTCTGCTAGCGGTGGTGGTGGTGGTAGGCCGGCGATGGCAATGGCCCCTTTGCCTCCCAGGATGCAGCAATTAGTTGCGGGAATTCTGGCGCCTGCTGCCACTGGGCCGCCTGAGAATATGGCGCTTCCATACTATCAGGCCGCGAGGGCGCAAGCGTCTCTTGGTGGTGTTCCCACTGCTACGGCGCATGTTGCTGGAACTTCTTCTGGTCCGCATCTTCCGTCTTCCGTCTTGCCCAGTACCGTCTCCGATGGCGGAGTAGGGCCTAATCCTAAGTCCAACAACTATTTCCTTCAGGAGCTGCTACGAACGTCTCGCTGCTACCTCTCTCAGCCTCATCTCAATCTTATTTCCCCGGTTCCAGTCCTTTGTCTACTAGTACTCATTTCAGATCCGGTGGCAGTATGTCATTCCGCCTATTACTACCACCATTCCGACGAGCACCGTCTCATCGTCATCACCGTTTGCTCTTCACACTCCCCTGCATCATCCTTCTCATCGCTCAGCCCTTCGTCATCTTCGAACAATGTCAGTGGTCTGAGTTTCCTTCCTTCCTTTCGGTCTTCGACTGCGGCCGCCGTGAAGGCGGCGCCAGACCAGTGGCGCTCAGTCGTGATATGTCGAAGCCTTCTTTTGCTCG